CAACTTTTCTAAATGATATAAAAAGGTTTCAAATATCTTACATAGTTACAAGATGTATTTCAAAAATCAACCAACTAAAATTTTTCAAGACTTCTCTTTTTTTCCTCTTATTTCTTCGCTCTTTCTAGCTCAATTTTTTCCTCTCTTTGATCTTTTTTAATTTTTAGTGTGGATGCATTTTTCTTATTTTAAACCTTTTTTTTCCCATCCTTAAACCTTACTCTCTAACCCTTTAAGGTAAAAGAAAGGAAGAATAATTGAAAATGTTATTTTCTATCTAATTGTATACCATCGGGTTATAACAAGGACAATAATCAAAATAATCTGATTGTTTTAAAAAATGATCTATTTGTTTTATGAAGTTGGTCTAACTTTTTTGAAAAATGGCTAGACTATTTTTTATTTTGAAAAAAATAAACATTCTTGCCGATAACTTTTCTTCTTTTGTATCCTTTAACTCTTTTTTCTTATTTCATTTCATTACACTATAGTTTATATTATAATATTATTTTTAATTTATCTTGGTGTTTACACTCTACTCTCTTATTTTCTACGAACTTGCTTTTTCCTTTTAAATTTCAGATATTGAAACATACAACAAATAAAGTTTATAACTAAAAAGTTTGACCCTCAAAGCAGATCAATTACAAATAATAAAGTTAAAAAAGTCAAGGATCAAAGTGTGTTTTTTTAGCTTCGTGAATATCAAAAAGGAAAAAAAAGGATTGGATTCTTGTTTACATATTAAACCCAATCCCTATTGTTTTTATTTTTTTAACTGATAAAACTAAATGTATCATGTGAAATTCAGAATAAATTCAAAGTTAGGGTATTTTTCAATGTTACAAATATGACAAAACACAAGAACATAAAGAAATTACCTCTTGATTTTAAATTATGTGAACAAGAAGTTGAAAAATGAAATTCAGAGAAAAAAGTATGCAATCTAAAATGAATAACTAAACAATAATATAAAAAATATAGACAAATTAGACATGCTATAGCAATCCATAAATGTGTTTCAGTATGCAAAAACAGTCAAATAAACAAGAAAATAATGTAATGATTATTAAAAAATAAAACTTGTTTATTTTTAATATGTTACAGTTTAAGATAAATGATTTCAATAACAACAATTAAACAAACATTAGATTCATATTTTATTTAACAAAGAAAGGTTTATATATTTACTAATATTAGTACTCATTATCGTTTTAATTGATAGAATTAGAATAATAATAAAACATTATCAAATTTAAAATCAATACTATATAAAAATAACAATCTCATCTCATAATTATTAGGATTTACAAGATATTCATCTTTTAAGACTTAAAAATTTAGAGTTAAGATTCTTTTCTCTTTTGGTATATGTTGTGTTTGATTAATAATGAGTTTTGATTTAACTAACCTTAACCTTAATGAATGGATCTTTAATTAATTAATAATCTAATTAATTAGTAAAAATAACAAAGATATTTTAGTTATTTTTAATAAAAATATCAATAATATTGTTTAATAGAGGAGAAACCGTAAGGATGAAATTTTATTAGATGTTATGGATATTGATTCAAATAGATGGATTTTTTTTTTTGACTTGATTGGATTTCAAGTAAAATCCTAAAGTAAAAAATCAGTTAATTATATTAGTTTACACGACCCAAACCCTTCTTGAAATAAATAAATAACTTAAAAGTTTTTAAAAAATACATGTATAATAAACTAATTATATGATAAATAGTTTTAAATTATAACATGATGTTCAAATCGAGTTTGAATAATGAATAACACATAGATATCCCTTTGGATTTGAGTTAGATTCATATAATTATTTTGGTTTGGATATAAACAATATAAAACCCAACCTCTTAATATTTATTGCCATATCCAAAAGTGGCCAATTCATTTATTTTTCCACATGCTTCTTACTTTATCAAATAAAATTAAATATTAATTTACGAATCAAAGTATCTCTTATTATACCAAGAATTTATTTTACAAGCATAACTCAACTCATAACTCATCAATTAGGGAAATTCAATATTTTTCCATGACTTCATCGCTGCTATAAAACAATAAATTACATTCAAAATGGGATGTAATTTGTATCCGATCCCACTTTTCATGTTATTATTTAAAAGATACAGCACTTCACACACTCAGAATTCAATCCATCACACTCTCTTTCAGCTGCTCTGCAACTTGCCATGGACTTCGGTTTCATTTTATTTTTGCTGTTTAAGGGTATCAGAGTCAGTTTCTTTGACATTTGACCATCAAAGCTAACAATGACTTTCGTTTTTCTCTGCACTTTAAAACTCCAAGACCTTGCACTGCGCAAACAACATGGTTAAAAATGAGTTCAGACTTTTTAGATGACAACTCATGATACAATTTAGGATTTAATTATTGTTTTTAGAGGGAAAAAACGAAGATAATTAGGATAAAAAGTTATATTATTCCATTTTTATATATTTTAAAAATACAAATTTTACTTTTGAACCGAACTGCAAATATATTCATGTTTATTTTTATTTTTATTATTCTAATCAAATACCTTTATATCATTTTTGTATTTATCTCTTCTATCTTGTCATGCCATTATATTTCTATTTTGTTTTTGTTAGAATTTTACAACATTGATTTAAGAGCATAAATAGAATATAGTTAGAGATAGCTGTGCATGCGCCACACATGTAAAAACTTAATCTTTTGCATTTGCTTAACTTAGAAACAAAAACAGAGAAACTTCAATGGCAGGAAAGAAATGGGATAACCAGGAGTAAAGAACAAACAATTCATTATTTCCAAGAAAGAAAGGGTTGGCTGGTGTTAAAGAATTTTAATGATGAATTGAATCCATCCGTTATAATGGAAATCACACACAATTTTTTATTTTTATTTTGTTACATGTGCACTGATGAATTTCTATTTTCTATTGCATTTTTTTGGGAAGAAAAACTCCAACAAGGAATGGTGGGGAGCTGGACATGTGTCCAACTAGGAAGACAGAATCATCAGTGGTCACAAAAGAAGCAGTTGAAAAGACAAGGAATCGAAGTGTGTGTAATAAATAATCGATTTTAATAACTTAATCACATGTTGAAATTGCAACGTTTTAAATTCCTCAAACCACAGTAATCACTAACTATGGTCGGCTCTTTTTTTATTACAACTTGGGTCAGGTCAAGTATAACAAGAAAGTAGCTGGGTTGATTCTCCCCGTTTGTACTTGAAATTTCCCTGTACAAAAACAAGAAATTGCAATGACTTTTGTTGCCTCTGATCTGGTTCCAATGGGGGGTCAATCTAATTCTTGCAAGGAAATGAAACCACAAGAAGATATTGAAGTGAAAAAGGAGCAAGAGGTTACCAATGGCTGTGGTGAAAACATGGTATCTTGCAAGGAAGGTGCTGATTTGTTGGAGAAAAAAGGGGTCCATCCTCTTTGGACACCCAGTTCCAGGTACGAGTCTGCTTTCCTTTTATTAACCAGAAAATTTTCTGTTTTTGTTGAGAAAAAAGTCTTGAATTTTTATTTTTTTTGCTAGCTTGTAAACGAAACAAAGGGAAAAGAGAAGCTGCGATCTGTTGTATTTGTAAAGAAGTGTTGTTTATGAAAATTAAAAGCTAATTCGTGAAGGCCTGATGGGAGCTTAAATTCTACTGTGTTGTGATGCTTGAATGTAGTTGAATCTTGGGGGTTTGTTAGGTTATGTTTTTTGGACTTTCAGAAGAGGAAAGAACCTGCTGTATGTGTTCATAAATGGTGCTCTTGTTTCGCTAAATTGTTCTATTATTTAAGGATCTGAAAGTTCTCCTTTGATTAAATTATTGTAGCACCAAGAAAGGTGTGTAATACAGGACTAACGTAGAAAGAGAAATGTTGATACTTCACCAGCAATTAGAGCAGGAAGCGACACAACTGATTGTACAAGTTACACTCATAGCCAGTCCAAGAAGAGCACCATGAAGTTACACTCTTTTTTGTGACCTAAGCTACAAATTTAAAGATGCTTTCTTTCATTCAAGCCCTAGCTTCCAAACAAGGATACTTTCCATATAATTTGGGAATTTCCATAAAATATCAGCAATCAAATGTATTTTGAAAATGGATTGAAGGGTAGGGAAGAGATACAAACTGCCCCGTCTTAAAGTAGGCAGTGAATAAAAGTTCTGCAATTTTTCCTCCTTAAGCTTCAATGATCCCTTCATTTTGAGCACCAGCAGAGGCAAAATTTTATGAGTGGGATGCATCTGGATTGGTATGCTTTGTATAACAAATTACTTAATCAAATCCTTTGTGTTCTCTGTTGTCAGAGTGGGAAAGTTTAGGTGAGTATGCTTTCACTCCATGGTAGGATTCTGTGGATGCTACCAAGTTACAAGGTAACATAACTGCATATCTTGAAAGCAGTGAAGAGAGTTATTGCAAGACTTGAAAATATTTCTCTCGTTACTGCCATCTTGTATCTCTTTTTGACATAAAATTTTTGTGCTTAAAAATCCTACCTGTACGGAATAGAAGCATTTGTTTGCTTAAAAGCTTACCCATAGAGAAAAGAAGTTATGAAAGGACTTCTACTTAATTGCTTCTTTTGGTCTGGGTTAAGGCTTGTTTGGTCAAGGACACCTTGAATGAGAAGCAGGTGAAAGTTGCCTTCATGTCACTTGTGGCGAACACATGCAGTATCAGTCTGTCAATGCTAATTGCAGGTCTATTCGCAAGACAATGCTAGCTGGCCTTTCCTTTTCCTTTTCTGTGCAGTTATTAGGCTTGAGGATGCTACTGGATCCTTTTTTGCCTTCTCCTAGATCATCTTGTCTGATTAACATGATTTTCAATAAATGTCAGATCAAGTGGCAACTAAGAGTAATCACTGTATTCTTTCAAGTAGCAATGTGCAAGCTTCTTATCAGCCAGAAAAATTGATACATTATGCAGTCATTTAAGCTCTATGACTTCTTTTTTTTCTGTGATATGTTTTTGTTTCTGTTATGTTTACACTCTTAAGTTGCAGAACTGTCAAGTTTGATTTTGACGGTAGCTGGAAGTCCTATCTTGTGTTTTATTTTAGCAGCTCAGATTGTTTGGATCAAATGATTTTTGATCCACAGTAATTTGGTTTAGTTGAACACACGTTTGTTTTGCAATTAGTATGATTAGTCAACTCAGGAGATTATAAAAATGGTTTAGAGTTGTCAAGTTTAATTCTGAAGGTGGTTGAAGGTCCAATTTTGGGAGTCGGCGATTGTTAGGAGAATTCTTTGCTTAATCTAGATTAATTTGTTGATCAGTTGAAAACTTTGCTCACTTATGTTTTGACACCAACTTTCTCATATCCAGGGCAGGGGGTAACCATCTTTCTAATATCCAGGGGGGTATTCACCTTACAAGCTTGGCCATGGACACATTAGCGTTGAAGAGTGGTACTCAAGTAGCAGGAACGAAATAAATGAGTAGTGACATGGGGGCAAAATGATAAAAGATTTGATATCACAATATCTTTTAAGACAAAATAGAAATTAGAAAGAAAGAGAGGGATTTGTGTAGTTAACCCAACTGATTTGAATTCTTGCAGCTACTTGCATCAAAGTTGTAAATATTTTATCCGTATTCTATTATATTTCTGCATCCTCTCATTTCACTCTGTTCTCTTTTTCCTTAAGCCTCTCCACCCCAGTCAAAACTTTTATTGTGTGGTCATCTTACTCTTCTTTAATATATATACTTCCGACATTATTAATTAAAAAAAATTGCTTATAGAAGTTATTTAAGTGGTGGATACATGCCAGACAAGTTCAACATGATGTAATGAATTATCTTTGGTTTCTTAAGGCCCGCAACCATGGCAACTTCGGGACCAAATGCCACCATTCCTGCTCCGGATCAGCTTACCATCTTCTATGGTGGAAGTGTTGTCGTGTTTGATGCAATTCCTGCAGAAAAGGTCTTCCCTCACTAGAACTTCCAAGACTTTAATAAATATCTACATGGTAGATTTCATTCTAACTCTTAATCTTGTTCATTTAGGTCCATGAAATTATGCTTATTGCTGCTGCTGCTGCTGCTAAACCTGTTGACATGAAGAAAAGTGGGTCTCCTGATGGTACACCAGTTCTTACAAGGTCTCCTTCAATGCAAAGTACTGCTGCCCCACATGCCCAAGCCTATAGTCGTCAGAATTCCTTTTGCAGAATGCAAGCTGGTAATGGTTAGAGAACATTACTGAAATGCATTTAGCGTTGGATTTCAAATATTTTATTGCTCTTTCTCTTCTATGAGATTAGATATAACTTAATGATTCTCATTGTAATTCCATTTTTTTGTTCAAGAATTGCCTATTGCTAGGAGACATTCTCTGCAGCGATTCTTCGAGAAGCGTCGGGACAGGTATCTGTTTTGCATTTTGGGATTCTCTGTCTTATCTCTTATACTTTAAAACAACATACACACACGTAACTTCATGATTTGTGGTATTGCATCTAAGTTACGATGCTCCTATGTGTTTAATGGTTACATGATGCACAAACATATCATCTGGGCTGCCTGGACCTCTTCTTTTACTCTGTTAATTGCAGGCTGGTGAGCAAAAGCCCGTATCCCACTTCACCAGAAGGAAAAGAGGCAGACACCACAAAACCTGGTATTATTGCTGCACCTTCACCAGATGCAGGTTGCTTTGGAAAATCTCTTGCATCGGACGAACTTTAACCAAAGGTTGCTTCCAACCTTGCTTGACCGATGCTAAAGGCTTCTCATGTATCATGGAAAACTGTTATTATATTAGGTTCTTAACCTTGTTGTATTGCTCGTGCAAGATGTCAAGCGCAGTGGTGGTGAAGATTTTTTGGTTGCTTTTGGATGCACTGGACAGCATGTACAATTTCTCATTGAAACTAGGGGGATTTTGTTCACATGTCTGCCCCCTGCAGCAAAAGGCACCTGTAATGTCTTCTGAACCAGCGCCTTTTGGACGATTACTTGTGTTATTATGAACTTTGGAAAACAAATGACAAACATTTGACGTGTGTGTGGTTTGCTTGTTAATGGAACCTCTCTAGTATTGTGCTGGCCATTGTAAGACTTCTTTAAGAAATTACTCGCTGTGATGTGGTTTTAGTCCGTAGCGTGAGTCACCGGTACTGGATCTTTAAGACTGGTCATGGAGATGCAAACTCATGGAGAATTCAACCAGATGAGTCCATAAATCCAATTTCGTGCACATTCTCCTTCAAGCTTTTGACTTTTCTTCATTTAGATTGTGCTTTTGCTTTGTTATGGCTTGTGGGTTGTGGTTTCCATTCAAGCTTTTGTCCACCATTTAATTACTTTATGATTAATACGTAAAGTAAATAGTATTTGGATTAGGTGCGTGACAATCAATGTCTCATAATGTAGTGCCTTTTTTTTTCTATAATAATTTTAAGTGCGTTCTGTCCTCTTTTTATTAAACGTTTTATTTTATGACTTGCATCACAGAACGCAAAAATTTTATGGATTTGTTCCCTACAAGCTACGAACTTGTTGCTAATGGCTTATGTAAAAATTTCCAATTTTATATCATTATGTGTTCTAATAAATATCTTAATTTCATATTAAATTAAATGAAAAGGAATCTAAAAGGTTTGTTGAATTCACGGAATGCTCTTTTATCACATAACAATGTTCGCTCGGATAGTGTTTGCTTCTTCTATTTTTGGCATTTTTTTAATACATTTTTTTTAATTGCATCAGCTGCTAATAGGATTAAATGGGATTTTGGGCTCATAATTTATTTTTAATTGTTTTCCATAAGGGTTTCGAAGGTGTTCCAGTGTTAAATTAGTGTTTAATTTGACAATATAGGTTTTAATTTTGCTAGTTGCTATTGAGTTTTGAAGGATTAATTTAAAAAAAAAAAAAATTTAGGTTATTGTGTGTCAGCACCTTTTCTAAAAAAAAATTGCCTTATGATTTTTTACAATTTCTTTTTGGTCCCTTTACCTTTTGAGTTATGTGTTTTAATTTAAAATTTTATTTTTTTTACATATCACTTAATGGGTTAGAGAAAAGAGAAAGAGAATCACCAAAAAATAATAAAAGAAAAAGAAAATATTTGGTTTTGCCACTTTCTAGCAAAGAAAAAGGTACCTTTTGGTGTTAGTCTTCTTAATAGGATTTTAATGATTGTGTTTTTCATGTAAATACGCTAGAAAAATAGAAAAATAGATTACGGTTGTTTAGTTTTTTTATCAATTCAATTGATTTTTACTTTGTGATTGATTTTAAAATGTTTTATAAGTGAGAATGAGTTTATCAAGATTTTTAGAGTATTTTTAAATAAAAAAAGTAAAAAAATATTTTTTTGTTTGACCTTAATTTTCCAAACTCCACCCTTCAAGGCAATATATTGTTTAATATTTTTTTAAAAGAGGAGGGACATGTCATTCACCTATCTTCAAAAAAAAAAAACTAAAAGAAAAGGAAAATCAATCTAGATACCCCACTTTTGGGTTACTTGTAAGGTGTGTGGGTCAAGTAAGTTAGGCATACCAATGCTTAGTCTCTTTTATTTTTTATTTGTTTTTGTCTTTTTTATAAATTTTAATTAAAACTATTCTTTTTTATGTATTTTTTAGTTTATATTATTTATTTAGTTAAGTTTTAACTAATACCTTCCCTCTTCTTGTTTAAAATGTTAGTTGTTCAATCAAACCAAAAAAAAATTTTAGAAGACAAAGTTATTAAATTCAATAAGAGATACAAATGAGTTTGACTCAAATCTATCCAACGTTATCATTATTTTGATTTTTTTATAGAAAAAATATTAAATTAATATCATTTTAATTTTTTTATAGAAACAATAAACTAGATTTTGGGCTAGTTGGTTCAATCAATCAAACTACACTTAAAAACTTAAGTTCTCCTAGGATTTTGCTGTGTTAACATTTATATAAAAAAATAAAATAATGACACTTGGAGTTTTTTTTATTGATCATTTATTATTGAACCATGAAAATTGACAAATCATATTTAGCAGCGGAATCAAAAAATAAAATTAAGAAGAGTCAAAATAATTGTATTATTTTTATATTGTTATGATATATCTGTATTAATGTTATCAAAATGTTATTATTTTAATTAAAACTTTATTTTTTGATCATGATAAAATGTTGTATAAAAAATAAATATTTTGACAAAAAATTATTGGAAAAAATTGAGCAAGTTAATAAGATATATATATTTTTTAATTAGACATATATCTTTTTTTATCTTTATGTGAAGTCCAATATTTTTTTATTTCCCATGTTTGCACTAGTTGTTTTTTATTTTTTTTAAATGAATGACATAAAATAAAAAATTATTTTTGTAGAGGTAACTAATATTAATAATAAGGTGTTGAAAAAAACTGACAAGCAAAGAAAATTATAAAAAAATAAAATAAAAAACTAAAAAGCTAATTTAAAAACAAACAAAATCACTCGTTTAATTTAGTTTAGTTTTGGTTTCACAGAGATAAAATCCATTCAACCAGTTAACTAAATTTAACTAAACTCGAAGAAAAGTTTTCCATCTTTATTTTTGTTTCAACAGCCATCCCTTGCCCTCTTTCTTTTTCTCTCATGTGATTTGCCTAATTATTTTATGTAATTTCTTCTCATTAGCTGGTCTTGCTGCTCTTAAATTTGATATTGGAGGTTGCATCTCAAGATTTGGTATATAACGAGAACCATTTTATGTTTTGGGCTTGTTTAAAAGTATAATATAAATTGTTTTTTTATAGAATTTTTTTATTTTAAAATATATCAAAATAATAATCTTTTTTATTTTTTAAAATTTATTTTTAATATTATCACATCAAAACAATTTAAAAATATATAAAAATTAATTTAAATTAATTTTTATTATTATTAAAACTCCGGCGCCATGTATAGACGTTCTTACATGAATGGTGGCCTCCTGTTGGGCTCCTATTTAGGTACATCAAAGATCGTTCGCACCGGTAGAAGATTTTATCTAGTTCTATTTTTTTTTAAAAAAAAATAGTCTGCATGCTCTTAGAGCCACTCAATTTTATTTTTAAATAGTCTGCATGCTCTTAGAGCCACTCAAAAGCAAGAAACCATCATTTCGATTGAAGTGTTAGTACGTGTCTTGATGGCTTGATTCCAGTATGCAAGGCCCTTGAAAATTTTATTACCCTTTTGTTTTAATAAAAAAACAAGTTTAGGATCTCGAGGTAATAAACCATTCGAAATCTTGCATTTATTGGTTTTGTTGTCTTGATTTTCTGTTTTGGATTTCGGATGTTTCTGGGATTTTTCTTACCGTGAAAGTGTTTTTATTTCTTCAAATGTTGTATGAAATTGGAACTTTCAAGTTATCTGTATTGTTTGTTTTCTTGTTAGTATTGTCTCCCTCTGTATCTATCAAGTCATCTTCTTTTTCTGTTGGTGTAACTTTACCATGTTTATCGGTTTTCAAAGCAAAAAAATCTATCCAAAATCAAGTTAAATCAATTTAATTTAAACTGATTTTTATTTTTATTTGGGTTAAATTTTTTTAAAATAACAACTCCCAATTGAGTTTTTTTTTTATCAAAATCAAATAATAAATCATATTAGAGAATAATATAAATTATATTCTGAGATCTCACTTGACAACTTAAATTTTTGGGTTGAGATGATTCATTAATATGGTATTAAAGTCTTAATAACCAAGTGATTTTAAGTTTGAATTTTTACATTCCTATTTATTTGATAAAAATTAAATACAAGATAAATATGTTAGAGAATAATATAAATTATATTTTAATATCTCAGTTTAAATTTTTATA